CGCCGGCAGAGCCCCCAGGCCTGCCCTGTCGCCTCCCACCAAGCCCAGCCCCAAGCCGAGGGCCGCGCCGTAGCTGGCGGCGCAGGCGAAGGCGGCGGGGCTGCCCGGCAGGGCGAGGGGGACGCAGCCGGCGGGCAGCGGCAGGAGCCCGGAGCCCGCCGCCGCCAGGGCCATGGAGGCCTCGCCGGGCCCTTCCCCCCCGGCCGCCGGCGCCGCCGGCTCCTGAGGCGGCTCCTCGTCCCGCTCCTCGTCCTCCTCCTCCGAGTCGTTCCGCTTCCGCACGTTCACCCTCCGCGCCTTGCGGAACATCCCGCCGACGGGCACCGACGACAACGACCCGCCGCGCCGCGCTGCACCGGTGCCGGCCCCGGCGCCACCCGCTCCCGCCAGCCCGCGCCGCGGCCCAGGCCCGGCTCCCTCAGCATGATCGCCGCCGCGCCGCCCGCTACAGCGCCCCCTGCCGCCGTCCGCCCACCGCCGCCGCCCGGCCGCCAACGGCGAGCGGCCGCCCCACCATAGAGAGGCGGCGGGGACGGGGGATAGAGCGTGCGCGGTGGGGAGAGTAGAGAGCCGGAGCTAGAGCGGCCCGTCGCGCCGCCCGCCACCCCGCTCTTCCTTTCCCAGCGGCCGCCGCTGCCGCCATCTTGTGTGGAGACGGGGAGTAGGGGGGAGGTGTGCGCGGCCCCTGGGGGATTGCGGCATGGAGCGGGGGTGGGATGTCGTGGGTGGTGTGTCCCCCACCGGGATAAGGGGATCGGCGAGCCTCCGCCTCCCTATCCCCGGGGGCTCAGCCGAGTCTCGCCCCCTGGCTCGGCGCAGCCTCTGCCGGAAAGCCCACGCTCTCCCTGAGGAAATACTGGCTTCTGGCGTGGAGGGGATGAGGTAACCTGGTGGTCCCCTTCGCTAGTAATAAAGAGTAGTGTCTTTAACGTGCAAGGCCCTTTGGGGTTCGGTTGCGTCTGGACTGAGGGGAGCATATCCTCAGCAGCCAGCCGAGCCGGCCGCCATGGCCACTGTGTTGGCTGAGCAACAGCGAGTTTGGTGGCAGATGCCAAAATATCGCTGGCCTTTTTAAAAATAGCCTTTCCAAGGGTGGGTGTTGTGAACTGGAGGGACCTCATCAGCCTTACCACCTTATCAGGAGCGCCAGACTTCACGGCAGCCCGTCTTGGCCAGCCACCGTGGGAGTCTGCCCAGGAGAAGGGCTGGCTGGCCTCCCGCAGCTTCTTGCAGTGGCAAGATCTCCCATAGAAAGCATCACGTTGCTTTTGTGCTTGTTCTCAATCTGTATTGACTTCCCAAAGTCACACCAGAATTGCTAGTGGGAGTGAAGAAGCTGTAAACTTATAGCTCTGATCTCCCATTTTTTTTCTGATACAAAAAAATCAGCTCAGTTTCCATTCGTTGGCATATCCAATAATCATGTATCCCAGGTTAAAGACTGGGCAAAGACAGGTTGAACTTGACACATGGAGAATGAAACCATTCTGCATATAAATATTAATTGCTATAAAATCAAATGCCATAGGGTGTTGAGTGGGGTTAGGTATGAGTACCTTACACTGGGAGGTAAAACAGATTCCTGAAATAACATAACTATTTCTGCAGAGTGATGCTTAATGTACTACTGTATGTAGTTTACATGCAGATGAAACCTCCACCAACAGAACTAACAAAGCTCACAATGTATGTGATACATGTTTTGTATGAATTACTCTGAAGAAATTCTGCAAGCTTCTGATGCAGTATTTTCATGTGGCAAAGCTATACAACATTGAAATTGGGAGAACCAGGTTCTTAATATCTGCTGAAGAAGAATAGGGGGGTTGAAAAGATCATTGCAATATTGGTGCTGTGGTTTCTGCTGTGTGTGTAGTTGATTTTTGCCTGATGCCAGGAAAATCTCTGCCATGCTTACTTGGGCACAGAAATAAAAGGTCTTAGTCAGAACACTACAGTGGCAAAAGTAACTGAAACTGTAATTTACAGTGTTAGAAAGCCCACGGTTGCTTCCCAACAAGGCCAGAGTACGTACATTCTCATTTACTGCTGCATGTGTGAATTTTGAACGGGAGCAGCAGCCAACCACTTCTGTCCTTCCAATGTGGAAGTACCGTGTCATTCAGCACATTTTTTACTAGAGGGCAGCAGAGCCTCAGTCAATTTGCTGAAGATCATTTTGCTTTGATTTTCCCATATTTTAAAGAGAGGGTTAGTAACATTAAGTAGTCAATACATTGGTGTGTGCCAGCTATATCTATATATTATTTTTTTTACAACACTATCCTGTGCAGGATTAGTGACTAACCAGCTTGTGAAGGCACGGTTAGAACTCTTGCACAGATAGTTGGAGCATGGGATTCCTGGGTGGAAAATATGAGTTATTTCCCTGTATATGTTCTACCTTCCAGGCATGTAATGTGCTCAGAACACACGCACACTCCACTCCCAATTTCTGCCAGCCCAGCTCCAGCTCCTAACCATTTTGTAACCTGTGACACAATTGTGAGAGGTATCACTAGAAATATTTGTGATTTGGGGAGAAGGCTTACAGTTTGCTGCCGAGGTGCTGACAAAGGAAACAGCGTTTTTACAGCAGCTGATTTAATAGTTCTCTAGTTAAGTTAAATTGAGTTCAATCCCCAGCCTTCAAACACTCATGTGCTTAAATCTGTTAATTTGCAATTGCAAATAGACTCCATTAATTCAATAGTTACTGCATTGTTGGTTTTGGTGGGAAAGCTCACAGTAATAGAAGGTGTGCATGTATTTAAGTATTTTGACAAATTATGTTTTTCTTCCTAGCAAAACTGCTCCATCATTGATTACAGTTACAGAAAAAGTCTTCCTTTATAAAGCTGTTGAAGCAAATTCACTGGTTCCTTAGAATCTTGATAGCTGTTCCCTTCAGTACATATATTTTATACCAATTTCATGGAATCCATTGCTAGCAAATGCAAGACTGTTAGGACCTGCTGTTCCAAAGTTTTTATTGTACTGTATGGATGGATCCTGGCCTTAATTATGTCTCATGGAATGCAAATCCTGCAGACATGGGCAAGGAGCAGACTTTGGGCTATATAAATAGTTCTGATGTGGGGCTGGCAGTCTTTCTCCCCCAACGTGTCTGAAAATCATTTGCTACACGTTGTGTCAGAAGCCTTGCCTCCCTTACCAGATGAGAGTCGTTGGATGGGGTCTTTCTCCTTTCTTAAAGGGGAGAACATGAGCAGAGCTTGCCATTATCACAAAAGATGCAGTCAAATTCCCTGCATTTGGGGAAATCACAGGTATCAGAACACTCAATGTGCAAGAGACGGGCCTTTCTCTGGGAAAAAAAAACACCTTTGTGAGCATGGTGTCTCAACTGTCAGGTGGCCTCTTGCCCAGTGCTTTCTCACAATGTGTGCTGTGGCTTGGCAGAGGACACAGCTTCCTGGTAATCCCCCAAACACACCTTCAGTTTTGTGCTGAGGTTGGAGGCTGTGTCCCTGCTTTTGTAACCTGTCCCTGCTTTCATAAGAGGCTGCGTCACCCAGCCTGAGCAGAGGGTTGCCAGCTCTGACCCAGTACCAGAGGGCAAGACCAACTCGGCACTCCCAGTTTGAGTAATCTGTAGCCACCTCGCACCCCTTGAACCTGACAGCAGTATTGACAGGGGCACAGCCAGTAGTTGGAGGGAAGGGCTTATTCCCCTTGTCGCAGCACTTAGGAGGTTGCACTGGGGGTACTGCATGCAGTTTTTCGCCCTACCCCTCCACCCCCTCTGCTGAGTGGAAGAAGGATATGGACCATCTGAAGTGGTCCAGTGGAGAGCCACCAAGATGGTCAGGGGCTGGCGCTTGTGTCTGTGAGAAGAGTGTGAAGGAAATGGGCTTGCTCAGCCTGGAGAGGGGAAGGCTGGGGCTAATAAATGAAAAAAAGTTTCCCCATGAGGACAGGCAGGCAGTGGCACAGGTTGCCCAATGAGGTTGTGCAGGCTCCATCCTTGGGGATTTTCGGGACCCAACCGCAGAAAACCCTGGTCTGATCCCAGAGGTGGCCCTGCTTGGGGCAGGTGGTTGGACTGGAGACCTCCCAGGCTGCCATAACTTGGGTTAGAACCCAAGTGATTTTCTCCAGGAGGCTCAGGTTCTTCTACAACTGGAGGTACATGGTTATGTCTTTTTCTGTCTGAGGCACAATGTTAAAACAAAATTTATCTGCAGGTTTCAATTCCTGGTTTACAACATATAAAATGAATTTGTACCAATGCTTTCTAAAACAGTCGTTCCACGTTTTCTTTGTTCTTTAAGAAAGCAGGTATGGAATTAGTCTGATCAGTCTGTCTTACTTTAAGCACCTAGCATGAGTGCTATCATGGTCAGAAGTGTCCATCCCATAACAGATCCTCCTGGCCAAACCAAGCAGCCTTAAATAAGTCCCATCTCTCTCTTGGCTGTTGCCATGCCTCTGACTACTGAATATGTTAAATAACTCAGTAAATGAATGTTACAACATAGCTCTTGTTATCTGAGGTTGAGAAAACATCGGAGTACAGCAGGCTAGGAAAGTGCTCTGTGATACTGGAGACGTTTTCCACACTGTACGATTTCAGCAAAGAATATCCATTGAAAAGCGAGGTATCCAGAAAAGAAATATGTACAAGCATTTGCCTGTCTTTGTTGTGCATCGCCAGTGAATCTTCTTTTTCGTTGTTGCTGCTACTGGAGATGGTTACACTCTGCTCTGGAAATCGTCCCTTCACCTTATTGACCCGGAGTTTTCGAAGTCCCCAAATGGCCAAGTACTCTGTCGGGAGAGGAGTGGTGCCACAGAAGGACAGCTTCAAATCCCACACCCTCGTGAAGTTGAGGAGCATCTCCAGCACAGAAGTGTCTGTGAACCAAATGGTCAGGTGGTTACTGTAGGTAGTTTTTTCCATGGTAGAAGGCAGCACCGTTTTGCAATTGCACATCAAGTTTGCCAGGCAGTAATCACAATCACGGATATCCACTGAGCAGCTGCAGTTGCGAATTGTGTTTTCCTTAGTGAAAATTAGCGTATGGTTCTTCTGACTTCTCACAAAACTGCCAGTGATGCGTATGCCAAGGAAGCCAGCCAAAATGAGAGCCAGCCAAAAGGAGAAAGCAGAGAAGGCTATTGGCTTCATTAGTACTGGTGCCAAGCTGCCAAGTGTCTCCTCCTTTTACTCAGTGAATTATATCACTTGGCTTTACCTACTGAGGAAAAACACATTCTTTATTATACTAAAGACCACTCAATGGCTCATATTACTTTGCTTTTCCCACTCCTTATCTCTCATCTATTCAGAACCACGTTGCAGTTTTGCAGGTTGCCCTGCATTAGAGAGGAAGCACAGCTACACTGATTCAGAAAAATGAATTGTGACTCATATTTGGGATTCTTCTTTCACTCCTCTTTTATTCTAAATGGTTTAATCTGGTTATGGCACAGCTTGGACACCCTCTTCTCTATGTAGGCAGCTCCTCAGCCTTCCCAGTGTAAAGGTAAGGGCAGGGCTCATTTCTCCTTTCTCTTTGTCCACCTCTCAACAGATAGGGTTGACAAATGACCTTGTTCTCCACTTCACCGAGTGAAGCAGTCTGAGAAGGGCTAAAGACAAGCATTTTTACACCCGAATTGCTAAGTAAGGGTTGTGATAAACTTCCCTTTAAACTGATTGTGGGATATACTGGGCAAAGGGAAAGAGAGAAAGAAAAGAGAGAAAGAAAGAAAAAGAAAGAGAAAGAACAAGAGAGAAAGAAAAAGGAATAAAGAGAGAGAAAGAGAGAAAGAAAGAGAGAGAAAGAAAAGAAGGAAAGAAAGAAATTTGATTTGACTGTAAATGTTTTGAAGCACCAAGAGACACTACAGCCAAATTTTGACCAAAAGTGTCAGGTCCTAGTGAAGGCAGCAGTAGGGCATGCACTTGGCAGAATTTAGTCCTTAGCGTGTGAAAAGATTGATGCATGTCTCCAGCATCTCAGAAAATATGGCAATGCATGTACAGTTTTGGAGAAACATAGCAGATAGACAGGAAAATAATAAAAACACAAGTTGTTTTTGTCTGTTATTCAATTTTCCATCATCTTCTGCTAGAAAATTCATGGTCATTTAACAGACAATTAAAGAAAAGTGTCTTTTGGAGAACACTAAACTTCGCTTAATCATTAGCACTATCATATGCATGGTAGTTTACCAGGTATGTGATTTAGATCTAAAAGTTTTAAGCTCAGTTCCTGCTGAAAATTCAAGTGACACTGTCCTTGGACTAATATTAAATTTTTGAAAACCCACAAGACTGCATTTTGACAAATTAGTTTGTATCTTGCTTTCCACATTTCTCACTTATAGAGGATTTAGTACTCTACCCTGCCTTTTTTTCTTTGAAATTCAGTCTCCCGTCAGTGAATCTGTAGAAACTGTGATGGTTTGTAAATGAGTAGGACTCTGCCATCCATGGGAAAAAGGAAGGAAAGGGAGAGTTACATGCACACAGGAGAAGAATCTGCACATAAGAAATAGTGGACTCTGGGCCAGACATTACCACTGGGTCTTTTGCAGGAATGAGATCTTAAGCTTCTGATAGGCAATTGCATGAAAACATCAGCTCGTTGCCTAACAGCAGTCGGAAAGTAATTAAATTGCTAAGATGTAGTAGGAAAATAGTAGAAAAAAAGACACAGTGCTGTTGAGCTACTGCCCAAATCACTTCTTTGGTGACACTTGCCTGTTATGTGCAGTTGAGATCCCACCATTGCAGAAAAAATATCACAGGACTGAAGTTTAGAGAACAGCAACAAGAGTGACCAGATATGGAAAGGCTTCCCTTTAAGTAAGGTGAGACTAGGTAAGGTAGAACTGTAGGTGGGAAAAGAGGTGGTTGAGACAGAATACAGTGGTGACCTATAACAGCATTAATAACACCAAGGTGGTAAAGATCAGTTGGGTAAAGATCAGTTTTTCACTGCTTCTTCCTAGAACAAGAGCAAGACATTGAAAATGTCTTGTGAAAATAAAACCAGTAGAGTCACAGCTGACTTTGTTGGTCCTTAGCAAAGGATGTTGGGGGTGTGAAAAGCTTTCACTAATTCAAGGCAGGCCTGGGTAAGTTTAGTGGAGAGAAGTCCACTGCGGTTGTCACGTACCCAGGCACCACACCTGGCTATAGAAGGCCCTGTGCTGAAAATAGTTGGGTGCAAAGAAAGTTACAGCAGTAAGCATCACACATTCTTGTCCCATTTCAGATCTCTCCTACACACCTTCTTACTGCTGCACATGGGGATGGCAACTTGACTAGATGGATCTTTGGTCTGACAGGTTATGGCTATTCTTATACAAGACCTATGTAGTGCAAATGCACGCAAACTGACTCAAGCATGATTTAATTCTGTACGTACACCCTGAATGTACTCTGTTGCTTTCCTACATGGAGGATACAGACATTGTAATGCTTCAATCAAATATTTAATCCATGTTGTGGAACATACCAGAAATACCAGTCCAACTGTTAGCTAATGTTTAACTTCAGAGGTCAGACCCATCCAAGCTGTGGCTGTTCTGGTATCATTACTGCTAGATTATTTTGGTCTCCAGTATCTATCTAAGCATCTAATCATGCATCGCAATCAAAATCCTATTAAACCTCCACAATATGCTTATTTTCTCAGCCCATAAGTGTGGCTAACAGTTGTGATAAATCTGAAATCTGTAACATCACCACGGTTTCACCACTCAGGGAAATTATTTGGATTTGTCTGTTTTGGAGAGAATATTTGCAGGAAGAATTCCTAGACAAAGTTAGCAATATGAGTTTGAACTAAGTAAAAGAATTTTAAATGGAAGACTCGGCACTTCTGCATTTCAGACTCCCACCTGCGTCAAAAGGGGTGATACTGCTTTTTCTATATAACACGTGAGGCCTTAATAGTCATAAACATTAGAATAAATTACTTTCATGTATCCTCATTAGTTTTAACTCTTGATTCCTTTTCATATTTTTTTTTCCAGTACCTGAAGAGCGGAGATCGTTTAGTTCTCTACTGTCTTGCCAACCAAAGAAAATTCTCTTTCAAGTTTAGCTTAGCTGATAGCATTTGGGCTTCATCCATCAAAATCCAAACAAAATTCTAAACCTTGGCATTCCAGGAAATGTTATCTTCAGAAATACTTGCTCTCCTCTTCTGCTCCCTGCAATCAAAAACATTCCTATCAATTCCATTCTCAGTATTTAGTTTCTGTGGGGCTTTGGTGAGTGGTATGTAAGCAGTGAAATATATGTTGCAGGTTGTCTGTCCATGAAGTTTCCAAGTCATCTGCAATGCACCTTTGCTTAAGCTACCAATTATCTACAGAAAAATGTGCATTATATGGCTCTCAATCAAATTACTTTGCTGCCTGTGCTGGTTAAGGCTTGGGAGAAGGTTGGCTTTAATTTTTAGGGATGGGGAGAGCTGTCTTGCAAGGGAAGAGCAAGGTAAAGCATAGGTAAAACTTAACCACACTAACTTGATGACTCTGAGTTGTATCTTTTTGAATTATTACTGCTGTCAAGACACTATTAGGAGGGAGGGGGTCAGAACTTAGCAAGAGGTTCTTTACACTAAAAGTCTGAGGAGGGGTCTTTAGCTTGTCTTCTCTAGGACTACCTCAGAAGAGTCTGAGTTTCAGTAAGGAAGATAAAGAAGAATGGGAAGCAAAACTCTCAGCTATGGCAGTTGAGGGACAGAACTTTGCCAGGGCAGAAGATGTGGGGAAAAGAAAGAGGATCAAAGAGCATGGGCCTGAAAAACAGGGGCAGGGCCTGAATGTATGCACCTGCAGGATGACATCTTGTTATTATGAAGCAAAACGGTTGAGGTGATTTAGGTTTAATCTTTGAAAGGACTGAAACACAGAATTGTTAATGTTTTGGTTTGTTGGGGTTTTTTTAACTTATGTTGATGTCATGGTGAGCTACCCAAAGAATAAAACTTTTGTCTCTCAGGAGGTACTTTTTAAGTTGCAAAAGCCAGAGTTATTTTAGAAAATCTTTCTCCTTTGCAGATATTCCTTATATTTTGGATAGCTTGTAATGCAAAGGTGCCTTCAGTAGGGCTTTTGGAGATACACAAAAGCCCTTTGTTGTAATACTGCCATTAAGCTAAAAGAAAGTATGTGGTGATTCTTATGCCTGTTGTGGGTCTGTGTCCTCTATCATCTCCAAATTTACAAAAAGCGGTGGAGTATCTTCAGAAAACTGGAGAATTTGGGCTGTGGAAATGAGGATGGTATTTCAAATCTGAACTTGGCAAATAATCTGAATGCTCTTCCCTCACAGGTGGATAACCAAAACTTTCCTGCTTTTATGTATCTGTTCTGGTGCAAAGAATAACTCCTTTGCCTATAGAAGCTCCGGCTAAGAAGGAACTGGTCTGCATTTTGCTTCCATATAATTGTTCAATTCAGCTGTTTTAGACAGTGATTCTTGTCCAACCTTATACTCGATGTTCATCAGTTTTTGAAAGTGGCTGGAGTAATACAAATGGTTAACACATATTCATATCAGAAGTGATTGAACTTGTTTATTAACCAGTTGCACCAACTCAGTTGGGCTGATTGATAAATTAAATTTGACTAAAACACAGAATGGCTTTGTAGCCTAAGAGTGGTATGTGCTGTAGGAGTCTTGTGCTATCGTTTTAAAGTTTCAAGTTAAAGAGTTTAGAGCTGTACCAGGCTGCAAGATGACCTCCAGCAGAAGTAATACCACCTTGGGCTCATCTCTGTCCAATGCAGCAAAGAAATAATTTGTCCAAACAGATGGTGGTTTATTCCAACAACACGGTTTCTTCATGATGGTGTTATTTCTAACATCCCAAACAACCATGAGGTGGTTTCAAATGAGGCATAGATGGGATATAATAATGTGCCCTTCATCCGACTGCAGTGATACTTTTTCTAAGTTGGTCTCATACAGTCAGCTCACAATTACACAGTGTTTTGAAATTAAGCACTGTGATTGCAACTTTTTCTTTTATCTATTACTGGTCAGGTTTTTTTACAGCTGCAACCTTCAACAAATCCACCCCCTGCATAGGTAAACTGGAAGTAAAGCCCACTTTCCTTCCTTCATCATCTTTACATAGTTCCTGTTTTGGAAATACAATTAGAAGTGTAAAAAAACAAAAGGTGAGCAAAACTAATAGACAGATAGCTGCTGAGCCATGCTCCCCAC